TAGGTACGTAGGTACGTAGGTAGGTATAGGTAGGTAGGTATAGGTATTGGTATAAGTAGGTATAGGTAGGTAGGTAGGTGTATAGGTAAGAATCGCGGGATGATCGATTCGCATGTCGATGCTCGCATGAAGAGCTTAAGGACACAATGGCATGCCGCTCGGTCTCTAGTTATGTTCCAATCTTAACTTCAGATCGCGGGGCCGTGACATGTTTTTTGCAATCTCCGGTTCATTCAAGACGACATATACCGGGATCTAGCACTCTTTGGGGTTGAAAACACCCGACAGTCCTCTCTCCTATAGGTAGGAATATAGGTAGGTATAGGTAGGTAGGCAGGCAGTCAGGCAGGCAGGCAGTAAAGAGGTAGGTAGGTCGTAGGTAAAGGTTTATTTATAGGCAGGTGTTTGTATTTAAAATAAGGTATGCATAGGTATAGGTGTACGTATATAAGTATACAAATATATATACAGAGTATATATACGTATGAAATATATATATATATAAGGTCGGTAGGTAGGTCAATATAGGTATAAGGTAGGTGTACCAGGTAGGTAGGTATAGCTATATTAGAGGTATATAGGTAGATAGGTAAGTCGATATCTTGGTCAAATCGGTATATAGATCTAAGTAGGTATAGATATATAAGTAGGTAGGTAAGTTATATATTGTAAGTGTACCAGGTAGGTAGCTAGAAAAAAAGGTAAAGGTCTAGAGGTAGGTATTGATGCACGACATGAACATGAGGACATGTGCACACACACACACATGCATCGACGTATGCACATATGTGTACAAATGTACCTAGATATCTATATACAGATATCTAGGTTTAGATAGAGATGCAGGTGTATATGTATACATGCACACCCTAGAAACCCGCGAACCCCAACGAATCCCTCAACCCCTAATCAAACCCTAAACCCTCAATCAAGCCGTAACCGTCAGACTAAACCCGAAACCCTGAAACCAAAACTAAACCCTCACCTGGAACCCTGAATCCCACACTAAACCTCAACCCATATCAAACCCTAAACCCTCAATGAAGCCGTAACCCTCAGACTGAACCCGAAACCCTGAAACCAACACTAAACCCTCACCCGGAACTCTGAATCCCACACTAAACCCTATAACCCTAACCCTCAAAGTCAACCCGAAACTCAAGACCCCAGACTCACCTCTAAACCCTAGCCCTCAAACTTATAACCCGAAACCCGCCCTCAACCCAAAATCAAAGCCCAAACCGTCAATTAAGCCGTAACCCTCAGAATAAACCCGAAGCCCTGAAACCAAAACTAAACCCTCACCCGGAACCCTGAATCCCACACTAAACCCTATAAGCCTAACCCCCAAAATCAACCCCAAACTCAAGACTCAACTCTAAACCCTAGCGGGCCCTCAAACTTCTAACCCGAAACCCCGAATCCGAAACTAAACCCTAAACCCAAAAGTAATCCCGACATCCTGAACCCCAAACTAAGTCCATTATCCTAAACCCGAGCCGGTCGCCTTGGCTTTCGAAGTCTGCTGGAGCTTGTCTTCCTGCATGAGTCATACTGAAGTGTAGGGTTTAGGGTTTATAGGGTTTAGGGTTTAGGGTTTTAGATATACATCCATGCTATGTAGATATACTATAGAGGTATACCTATCTAGCAGAATAGCTAGCATCGTTCATGTCGAGTCGCTGCAGCACATGCCTTGGCATCGAAATCCTTGGCGAGCCCGATGGCCCTGTCCTTCACCTGCGACACATGTACACATGCACGAGACTTGACGTGTATACTGATGAGTGCAGCTTAGTATTAATCGAGCGGCTCGTTCAAAGGTTTGCTGCAAACCGTCCATCTCTTGCAACAGAGCCTGAACTCTACAGAAACAACACTCGCACAACATATGCGGGCGACCCCGGCCTGTGCTGAGGCATCCTCGTCCCACTCATCATCGGGCCCACGGTCCCAAGCCTTGGACTGTACGTATCATGCAGTGTTCCGACCAGCTTCAAACCCTCCGGACAAACCAATGAAGCACAGGCACCTGGGGATCATAGACCTGCCAATCCTTTGCATCATCCCAGGCCTCGACATGCGATCAATAGGTTGGCTTATATTAAGTGCGAAACCTCATGCCTTGGGGTCGCCGGATCCCGTGGCTTGCTCTTCCTGAACAGGACTATATAGTGCTGCCCAACTCGATATATGTATATACATGTGAAACCGGAAGCTGCACCTTGGCGTGCTCGCCCCAATCATCCTTCTGCTGCTCCTAGTAAGATGATCAACACAAAAGATCGACAGCATGGAGATAATAAACCGGAAGCTGCACCTTGGCGTGCTTGCCCAAATCATCCTTCTGCTGCTCCTAGTAAGATGATCAACACAAAAGATCGACAGCATGGAGATAATAAACCGGAAGCTGCACCTGGGCGTGCTTGCCCCAATCATCCTTCTGCTGCTCCTATAAGATGATCAACACAAAAGATCAACAGCGTGGAGATAATACAACAATCGAGCCCCAAGCCTCGGCATCCGAGGCAATCTCCAAAGAGATGAGTTCTTCCTAGCGGCCAAAGTGTAAAGGAAACCTAAGAGTTTTGTAATACATCATATGCAATCCAAAAGAGCCTCCCAGGGTTGCCAACCGCAACCAGCAGCATCGCTGTTCACCTGCATGTGCATGCACATGCATGATTGGCACAATGAAAGATCGGGTCCAAAAGTGAGTCTGTGCACCCAACAACAGCACACCTCCATGGCTTCACTATCCACCCTATCCGAAGCTTTCAGGATCTCGAGATCTTCCTAGGCAGGAATTAAAATAACGATTCGGGCCATGTGTTTATCGATAGCTGTGCGGGTGTCGCCTGAGGCGGGTCTTCATGATGAGCTTCAGCGGGCCAACCGACCTGGCTGAATGAGTGCAACAGCATTAAGAGGATATTTCTAAATGAGGAATGGGCTCAAAATTCGCAAGGCCCGAGCTTCATCACTATCGATCTCGATGCACTGCTCATCCCCCTGATCGATTGCAAGCTGGTCATGCAAAAGCGCCATGTCCCTATTCTCACTGCCTTGGCCTCGCCACTGTTGCCCTCGGCCGGCTCCTGCATTCATTTTTTGGGCTGTTCTTGGGGAGGGGCTTGAGGCAAGGGGCTTGAGGCAACTTGCTTTCCAAGTGCACAAACTACAAGAAAACGACCCAGCAGTTAAGGAGTTAAATTTAAGTGCCGCTCTGGGCCAGGGGAGCCTCGGAATCATCCTCGTGGGCCCACTTCTTGTACTCGAGACCGTCGTCGTGGTTGTCATCTGCAACCTGCTTGAAATGGGGATTTTGGCTCATTCAGAGTATATATGCATGTGTGCACTCTCGATCAACAAAGCTAGGACCTTGATCTCGGGATCCTTCTTGACCCATCCATAATCATCCTTCCAATCCCAGCCCTCGGATCCGCGATCCTCGGATACGTCCACGGAATCATATATTACCCCCCAGCAGGAAACCTTACACCTTACAATTCGGCACCAAGACTCCCAAGCCATGGCACCTGCAGCACCCGGCTCCTCGTCGTGGTGGTTGTCATCTGCAACCTGCCCGGGTTTTAAATAAAGCTATCACCCTGGAACCTGCTGCGTGCAAACCATAAACCTCAGATTTAAAGGAGCCTCGTACTTGGGATCCTCCATGGCCCAGCCATTGTCATCATTCCAATCCCATTCCTGGTGATCATCATCCTCAGATGCAAGCAATCTATCCCGACAGAAAACCCTCAATCAAGAAACTATATTTCGATCCCAAGAAGCCACACTAACAACCTCAGTCAACCGTTGGCGGCCATCACCATCATTCTCTGTGCCGGGCTCGCCCTTGTCGCAAGCCTCATCCGATGGCTCCTCGCGGATTCTGTTATGGGTTTTTGATGAGGAAGAAAGAATATATACAGTTGTTTGTGGGTTTATAGGGAAGTCTAGGGTATATATACCGCAGCTCTGAAAACGTGGGATCCTTCTTGACCCAGCCATAATCATCCTTCCACTCCCAGTCCATGGGATCCCATGGATCCCCATCTCCATGATCCTCGGATCGGTACAAGCAATCTTCATTAAACTGTATTCTTTCATGCACAAAGCAAGTTTCTGCACTCAGGAAAAAACCGAAGTTGCATTCGGAGGCGTCTTGGATCGGAATCGGATCCGCTTGCTCGGCAGAATCTCGCCCAGCTTAGATCGACACGAAACGGAAAGACAAGCAAAACCGACAGCGATCTCGGACAAACAATGCAAACTTCAACATATAGCCGCCGAAGCCACACTGGAGTTGCTCGAGGCCCCCCGCTTCAACACCTGTGAGTCCTGGGTATACGGGCATGCATGGTGTTTGTGGGCTGTTATATAAGGCTACATGGCATCCGTGTGCTGTCCTCCTGTGGATCCAGGTTCCATTCTTGTGTCTCCATCGTCGAGGGATCCATGGCACTATATTGTCGCCGGGCTTTCTGGAGTAAAGACAACAGCACCTGGGCCTGTTCCTTAACCCATGTACGTTTGGAGTAGCCGGGATAGTTGGGGAGCTCCAAGTTTTTGTGGTCGAGGAGCCTCTTCACGACACACGTCGTCACTTTCTCAGTGAGCAGCCGGCCTTCATAATGAAAAGTTTTCATAAAGCCCAGCTGCTTTCTGGTGGACGAGTGCCTCAAGGACTTCGATGCATATAGCGAGCCTGTGGTTTTGGTATACTCTAAGTCGAGGGAAGCATGCACCAGATCGGTCAGCTCCAGAACCTTTTGCGAACGAGTCTGCTCTGAAGTGTCGTCCATGGCGACGGTACTATATAGAAGGACCGAATATCCAGAGTGTTTATAAGAAGAGCTGATCGACCTAGGTGTGCTCTCGAACACATGTTTACATGTCCCCATGCTGCGACCGCAGGCCCATGCCTCGATCTATATGCCTGCGATCCGGTGGTTCGCACGACCCATGCATGCAAGCAAGCTCGCACAACTCTTGCTGAAAAACACACAGACACCCACACACAC